AAAATCTATATCGAACCGAAGTGCGCTGAAGGGTTTTTGGGGTGAAATCTACCCCTAATTTTCAAAAATTATAAAATAACATATTAAACCTGAATATGGGTAAGATTTGGTTTGAATTAGTTAAATTATGATTATTTTATACTTTTGAATAGAGTTCCATCATATTTCAACCCTTAAAAAGCAGCCCTTGTTAGAGATTAATGTAAAAAAATTACTAATTCTAAAAAAATGTTTTATCCTTGGATCGATTTGGATAAAAATTTAGATTTAAGCTTAATTAACCGGCTGCTTTATAGTTTATGTCATGTCGACGAACCCTGATTGTTCTTAGGGGTGAAAACGACCCCTAATAGTCAAAAATTATAAAATAACATATTAAACCTGAATATGGGTAAAATTTGGTTTGAATTAATTAAATAATGATAGTTTCGTGCTTTTGAATAAAGTTCCATAATATTTCAACCCTTAAAAAGCGACCCTTATTAGAGATTAATATAAAAAAATTAGTAATGCGAAGAAAATGATTTCTTGAAACCTTGGAACGATTTGCATAAAAATTTGGAATTAAGTTCAACTCACCCTCTGCTTTATAGTTTATGTCATGCCGATGAACCCTGATTGTTCTTAGGGCTGAAAACTACCCCTAATTTTCAAAAATTGTACAATAATATTACAAATCTTAGGATGAGTGAAATTTGGTTTGGATTAGTTAAATAGTGATTTTTTTATACTTTAAAATACAAATTCATACATTTTCAACCCTTAAAAATCAATTGTTATGAGTGCTATAGGTGAAAACAATTTTTTGCCAAAATTTTGCAACTTTTCAACTTTTGAAAATCACCCTTTACAACATTGCAGTTTTTATAAACTAATGTATAAGATATAAATTGAAAAAAGTAGAATTAAATACAAAAAAATTTATCAACATAAAAAGGCACCATAATTATATTCTTATACATTTACATAAATAGTTGAAAATATTTACATTTATAGGTAAAACAATTATAATATTAATTTTATTCGTCATCAATTACATCTTCATCGTGATCTATGTCATCCTCATCTTCTTCAATTATTGGTGGACTGTTATTGCACCCTTCACCTGAGCACCCGGAACAAGTAGAGTTACAGTATAAACCAACTTTTCTGCACCCACATGAAACGCCGCATCCTTTTTTGCATTGGCAAAAAATAATTTTCAAAAGTTCATCGGGTGCAGGTTGTTTGTTCATGCGTACGGGTAATAATATACCCATCTTTGGAATACCAGCCCCAATCTGTTGCTCTGATATTTTCATTGCCAAGCCATAGACATATGAGCAGATGTTTTATTCTGTTGTATGGGATTTCAAAATAAGAACGCTTAAAATTTCGAATGTATAACGCCCCACTAGCCCCACATATACCGGTTTTGTAGATTATTATGCTCCGAAATGTACTGTACTATACTAATGGAATTTTCCGGAAAAAAATTAACTGGTTTTTTTAACGTATTTCCTTTAATTTTTAACGATAGAGTGTTTCTTCAAAAACGATTTGTAGAGGTTTTTAAGAGCTACAAGGATCTGTGAATTAAATCTTTTTGGAACCCTTGGTTTTTAAATGGGGTTAGTTTAAAGGGCTCGAAAAAGATGGTGCTTGATCGTAAATCGATGCTTTAAACGGCTATATCTCGCCAAATATTCATTGTACAACAAATCTAAATAAAGGATAATTGTAGTCATTAAAAAAGCTACAATTTGGTAATTTTTATTTTTTTCATATATTCAGTAATTTCGGGCATATTTAAAAAAAGGAGGGTAAAAAATATGAAATTGTAAATCGTTTCTCGCTTTAAGCTGTACTTTTTCTAAAACTAAGCATTTTAAATGGGTCAAACTTTTTGGACGTATTAACAATACATGTACAAAGGGAATTGCAGAAGGGTGAAGATCGATTTTAATTATGAGGGTGGTTAAGGGGTTGTTTTCATCGATTTTTTTCGTAAAAAATGGGGTATTGACCTTATTTTTATCATAACTCACTCAATTTTTGAGCTAGAGTCTTTTTTTATGATAGGTCTATTTATGCTTTAAAAAAGGTTTTGTGAGTTGTCTTCCAAAAATGCATCATTTTCCCGATATCTGACTTTGAATCTTTCAAATTTGGCATTCGAAGAAAACCGCTGAACATTGATAGGCCGAATTTCGGTTCCTATTAGCTACAAATTTGTTCTCTACAATTTTTTTGATAAAATGCACCATTTTCGAGTTATTCGCGAAAAATCGATAAAAAACGTGGATTTTTTCGTCTAAAAGTTGTTACTTTCAATCGCGAATAACTTGAAAAATATCATTTTATAAAAAAAATGTATAGCGCATTTTTTGTCTAGAATCACTTTTTTAATCGAAACCTGTAGTTAAAACGTAAAAAAAATTTTCACCCCGGAGATGGGGTGGCAACCACCCCCTAGGCTTTGGCGCACTTTGGTTCGATATAGATTTTGATCCTTAGGCTATTACCTACCTTCTGTTAAATTTCAAGTCAACCCACGCAGCACGAAAAAATTGCGAGGTGAAATACTTCATTTCCTGGACTATAACTGGTTTGACAGCATAATAAAATCGTAGATTTATGTGTAGCTTTTAATTTTTATGAGTTCAGAATCCAGCAGCCCGCAGAAGTATTGGGTTTTTATAATATAATTATTTGACAACCTTTTGTTGGCCAACCTCCTACAGCAGAATTGAGCCGAAAAACATTATATTCCTATGTTCCGAATTTATTTCGTTCAATCTGTATAATTGTATATTATACATTTAAAGTAAAAGACTTTAAAATGATATTGTCAATATTTATGAGTTGCGTTCCTGGGACTATATTTATATTCTAGCGCGAGAATTTTACTGTCACCATTGCATGTAGTTGTCTTTTTAAAGACATATTACATGTTATGATTTTTTTACGGATATTCTTGAGTTGGGATTGATTTCATGTAATCGACGCAACTTATAAATATTGGCAATATAATTGCCAATATTCCATTATATACTTTAAAATGTATAATATATGTCTGAATTGCCGATATAAATGAGTCAGATTAAATAAATTATTGGAAGAATTTTTTTACTAAGCAATATCATTTTTGTTTAATTCATCAATAATTTTTGTATTTTGACAACGACACCCGATTTGGGCGTCGAAACGTTAACAAAATCATTTTTTAGTAAAATTGTGGCTTATTTCCCATCAAAACTAGTTAATTGCAATAATGCCACAAGAAAATAGCTTCAGAACAAAATCGAGATCTTCCTCTGGAGCTGAGGATAAGCGCCTGAAGATGCTACGTGTTCTCGACTTTGATACATGGAATGCAAAGCTATACACTAAAAGTAGACAATATAAAGAAGTTTGAAGCATTTGAAATGTGGTGCTATAAAGGAATTTTGAAAATACCTGGATCTAACGAGTTACAAATGCAAAAGTGTTAAGATTACAATGTTACAAAAGGATTGCGAGGTGATAAAGAACATCAACACAAGAAAGCTGGAATATTTAGGTCATTTTACCGAAGGTGCGAAAGGCTTAAAATGCAAGGTAAAAATAAGGGTAAAAGATCCATAGGTAGAAAAAGAATTTCCTGGTTGAGAAACTTAAAGAGTATAGTTGTATAGTTGCAGCTCAATAGATCTTTTCAGAGCAGCCGCAAATAAAGTACGGATAGCTGTGGTGATGGCCTACCCTCGATAGGAGAAGGAACTTCGACAAGAATAGGATACAAATTTTGTTCTGATAGTAACATTGTACTACAAAAAATTTACAATTTATCTGGAAATGGCAATATAAAAGTACTTTTTACATTTAAAAATTTTCTGTGGACTTTCTGGAATTACGTCATCGAGGTTTTAAAAGCAAGTAGTGGTGAGTACTAAATGCAAACGATTTTGACTGTGATAAAATACCACAAAGTACCAACGTTAAAAATGGATAATGTAAGTACATATCATGATAAAATGACAGGGAATTTCCAATATATAAATAGTTGAGGGCCACCTGCCTAGGAACAATAGGTAAAAGCTGATAAACGGACAGGATTAGAAAGTTTAAAACATCACTAATTAGATCATATTTCAAAACAAAGTAAATAAGTATATTTGAATGTTAATTCTTTTCCAACTAAGATTGTAAAATTAAAATTTTAGGAAAAAAAATATTTATTATTTCTTGTTCTCAAGAAGTACTTTTATTATTGACAATATCGAAACATTTTATTATTAAAAGTCGAGAAGAATTTTCCGAGGAAACGTACATATTTATATAAAAGTGCTATAAAAATGAAGGTATATTTATAATGAAGGTTTTCATATTTATTTTAATTACAATTTGTGATGTTTCTGGTTTGTTTACTGTTGTGGCTGTCAGTCTGTTGAATTTTTTGCTGTTTATGTGTCGAATTTTTGCATTTTGAAGTTTATTTACCTTTACTTTTATCGAAAGTAAGTAATTTTCTGTGAATCTTTTCCCTTTTAGTTTTTTGTTTGCTTTCATTAACGTTATACCACTGACAAGTTTTTAAAAGTTTGATTTTTACCAAGAATTTTATAATTTTTCTTTTATGTTCTTCAAGCTTTCAAGCCAATTCGTAGTTAATAAAATATGCTTAGTCACATAAGTTCCAATTTTTTAAAAACGTGCATTATCTACTTTAAATAAATTAAAAGCCTCGTGAAACTTTTCTAACAATATTGTATTAATAGTAACAAACAAATCTGATGGTCTCTTAAGAAACTTTATTTCTTCGTTTGCGGCATAATCTCTGAAAAGTAACCTTAATCGTGTTTCTGTAATAGAATTTTATTGTCTTTTAGCAAATCTTCTTGGCATTTAATACAATTTAAATTCTTTATAATCGTATGGTAAATATAACCAGCGACATATGTAACAGCACAAGTTTCTAAATTTATGCTAGATTTGATGGAATTTGCCGCGCTTAAAATTTGGTTGTCATTATTTTTCGTTTACTTGTCTAAATATTTTTCTACATGAACTGTTTGGGTTTCAATGGACTCATCAGATATTTTGACGCTAGTTACTTCGTGGGTTAAATTTAAATTATCAGTTTGTGCTATTGCATAATTTCCATTGTCTAAACAAATTTTTAGCTTAATATTTGTGTTATGCTTAATGGCAATTCTTAACTGACTAACACTAGGTGTTGAATTGTAACCACCCCTATTGCGCACAATAGCGAAAAAATTTTCTAGAGGATCTTGGTTCAGAAAAGATGTTAAAAGATATGACACATTATATTTTTGAAGTTCCTCTCACAAACATAAAACTGACAAAATTGTCCACTGAAAGCCGGGTAGACACTGAATATTATTTCTCTCTTGCTGATTTTCAAAAACTTTAAATTTTTTAAAAATATTCTAAACCTGCTTTTAAGTTTTCAGTTGACTTGCTTAAAGATGACATTGGCTTTCTGTTTGGATTACTATCACTACAATATTTGCTGTTAAGACCATCAAAAATATTATTTATAATTTTCAAAAATTCGGCAGTATGAGGAGCCGTTTTAGTGTGTAACTGCCCTACAGCTATTGCTGTTGATATTGCTGAGGCAACTGAGGTGGAAAAAAATTGTGCTGCTAATTTTACACGCATTTGTTGAAAAGTATTAGGGTTTATATGAACGTCTGTTATTTTCACAATGCATCGTGCTCTTACACTGGTTCTATCGATGTTGTATGTGTATTCAAGATCTTACCACGATATTTGTTTAGAATCGGCAAAAAACGTCAACTTTTTGTTAAGAAAATTATTTCTTAGACTTTTTAATAAGTGGGGTATATCAAACACAGTAAAAATCCTCTGATTTCCTATTTCTATTGCAGGCTGATCCTTACATGCGCCTAACAGCTTAAATAAAGCTCTATTATTAGATGTTTGGTCACACACTAACAATATACCCAATATTTTGTAATTTTGAAAAAACTTCAAAATTACAAAATGGTGGTGGTTTATAATCAATGGCTATAAGATATTTTGTACCGAAAACCAAATACCTCACAACTAAACGATTTTTCGTGATTCAGTACTAGAAATGTTTTCTAGTATTGAATAAATTTAAAAAATCCAAAGTATTTACTAAAATTTCTATCATAATTCAATTTTTGTGTAAATTTATTTAAACGAATATCCAATGTCCCTTTTAAATACACTTTTTTTTTATTTATAACTCTTTTTATACGTACAATTACATCATAAAATACACTCCGCGTTATAGAAAACGGGCCACACCAGATATTTAAAATATTTTCGAAACTATTATTTATTGCTACAAAATTAAGCATTTTTTTGTATATTGAATCAATACCTCGTTTAGTATACAATTTTATCATTATCCTTAAACATCAATTAAAAATAAAAAAATTAAGAAAAATAGGAAATTTATTGAAAAAATCAACTTACTTACAGTTTTTATATCTTACTTCATCAACAACAATGAACTGTATATTAAAAAAAAGCTGGTATCCATTTTCAGTAATGGGTATTGCCACCTCGATTCTGGATGACACTCCTCATGGGAATGGGAATGTGGCATGGAATTTATAACGTTTTGGATATCTCTTTGGAGAAAAATGGCCGATTCCTCAATGAGTGCCCTCTGAAGCTCTCCAAGTGATGTTGGAGCAGGTATGCGACGCCTAACGCGACTTTTTAGCAGGCTCATATATGCTCAACAGGATTTAAATCGGGGCTTTGAGCAGGCCAGTCTATTTTTGGAATACAAATCTCGTCAAGGTACTCCGTTACTATCCTTGGTGACCGAGTGCAACCAGCATAACGTTCTCCAGCCCGTCTGTACCATAAATAGACGTTCTACAATCATCCGTAAACAATACTTTTTTCCAATCGATTCGAAAATACATTGTTTCTGGTTCAACAATACTTCGAATAGTTCTTAATGCTAATAATTGTAAGTATAAAACTATGCGCAAGACGCTAATGGAAAGGAGTGTAATAATAGTTTCTCGGCAAAATATAAAAATGCATACGAAAACTGCACTCTTTGCCTTTAAAACGCAGCTTGATTTTTGCCGATAGGATATTTAAAACAATAGATCGAATTTTTACCGTCCCGCTGATACAAATTTTATTGAACATTGATTTCGTGCGCGTAACTGACATGAAAAATCGACGGTCGCTTCAAGCGTTGTTTCTAAGAGAATGGTTCATTCTACACAAAAAATGTTTATAAACATTTTTGTTTAAAATTATCTCAGCTACATTTTTTATTGTAAACATTTTTTTCTACGGTGTATAGATTCTTGGTAAATCGATATTTTTGCGTTTTTACCGCTCTGCGAGTGGGATTTTAGGAGGAAGCTCGGTGGTAAAAGTGGTAAACTGTTTTGCATCTTTGTTGAAGTTCCAAAATTATTATTGTTTGCAAAATTCAGCTTGTTGATGATGTGTATGATTTTTAGGGGTCACTTCTCTGACGACTGGGCTAAAACGTCAAAAACGAATGTATAATGTAATTTTTATTACAATAAATTGGGGTTAATACCATATAAATACAATATTTACTTGAACATGCCACAAGTTTCAACAACAAACAACAGTTTCAGAACCTAAACCCCTTTTTCTGAATATTTATTTATTTTTAAATATTTATTAAGTATTTTATTTATATATTATTTATTTATAAATATTTATAAGTATTGAATTAGTGGAACAAACATGAAAAGTAAGAAATTTATTAGTAAGTATAAGTAAGAAAATTATTTTAGACTTTTGAATATTCGTACAAAATATTGAGACACTTCGACAGTCGTTACATATAAAAATGACCATTGGCAGCGTAAATCTGAGAAAATCGATATATCGCTTATACTGACTTTTGTATATAATTTGATTCGTTCAGTGATACAGATAAAATAATTATCGAAAATATCGTAATAATTCATACGGACACTCAAAAAAAAATACATGAAGATGATAATACAAACTACGTTTTCAGTATGGAGCCTACAGAATAAATATATCGTATAGCATCGTATGACAAATACGTTTTTTATCAAGAATAGTGTTTCTAAACATTACAATGTACAAATTATTCAAATAAATTGATCACAAAAAACTACACTTGAGTCCGTAACAATTTGGAACTGCAACTGGCGAAGCACAATAAAGTAGCAGCTAGCAAATTTGAGGTATTTCTCATAAACAACCGGAAAACAAATAAAAACAAATGATGAGGAATGAAACAAAGTGAAGTTGTAGAAATAAGCAACACAAAGCTCCAAATAAGAAAATACTATACAATATGATGCAAAAGGAACAAATTTATTATTTTAGAAACAGACGACTAAAAAAATGTTAAACACGTTAATTTTGAATTGCTATCCATTGCTATATGTGTTGAACATTACGACTCAGTGTTGGCTTAATGATGTAATCGACGATTTTTTAAAATTAACCGGGTTCACGGGACACCTCATTTAAAAAGTGTACTAATTGACTTTGCAACGATGTATGATTCGAATATTTATTTCTACAGAGTTAACCAAAATTATGTAGATACGTATGATTATATAAAAGTATGGAATACATTCATTCTTTCAAAAACAAAAGATTTAAAAAAAGTCTTAAAACATGTCAATTTTAATTTTTGAATGGCGATCAATTGCTATATATTTGCTGGACATTACGTCATAAGTTTTGGCATAATGACGTAATCGACGAACTTTTTAAATACAACACCAGTTCATAAGATATAATTGAAAGGTCTTCTAATCGCAATTTTACGATTGCAATTTTGCATGAGATGGGCTGGCCATGTTCATAGGCTCCCTAATAACCGCCTTACCAAGTTAATCTGGGAAGAAGTCCCGACAGGGAGAAGGCCCTTAGGACGTCCACGAATGGGATGGAGAGATAATATATGGTCAGATTTGAGAACAATGGGGCTACCCACTGACTTAAACATCATGGACGACCGTTCGAGATGGAAGCAGGTTGTGCAGTCAGCCAAGACCCACCCCGGGTTGTAGTGCTACCAGAAGAAAAAGAATTTTGCAATGATGTATTTATTATTCGAATATTTATTTCTTCAGGGTTAACCAAATTTTGGTCTTAGTTAAGTACAATGGAATTACAATAAATACTCATTCACTAATCTAATTTACACTAGGGACCGCCACTGCGAATAAAACAAAATTGTGTTTGCTAGTTCCGAAAAAATAAATACATTTATTGATAACAATGCTACATTCTAATCTAAAACTAATTTATTGTAGTATCAGTCAATTATATGATAGTAGAAGTATTAAGATATTTTCACAAAAATAAATAAATCAGTATTGTCATTGACTGGTCGATATTGTCAATCATCTATGAATCTGCCAACTAATAGACATTAAATTTTTACTGATGAATTGTTTCACGACATTACCAATTAGTAAACTTAAAAAAAAATGGGGAAACGGGTCATGTTAAAGATCTCCCCAGAAGTAGAAAATCAATACCCGAAGCCCAAAAACTGGATGCTGTACTGACGTTTCAAGAAAATCCGCATACCAGTACGAGGCAGGTTGCACTAGATAATAATGTTCTCCAATTAACTGTTGTTAAAGTGCTAAAGAAGAAGAAGTAAATCTGATCCGAGAGCTGTTAGAAAAGGACTTTGACAGAAGAGTCGAATTCTGCGAAACTATTATGGAACGATATAACAGAGAAAGTTTCATAGAAAAGATACTTTTTTCAGATGAAGCGGCTTTTATCGCTCAACGTTTGAGAAAGTGAATGTTGGTCATGTTTATAAACAATCATGTTATAGAGTCATTTTTTTTTGAGGAAAACGTTGGAATTTCTTCAGGATTTTCTGATGCCCCAGCTGAATCAGCTATTTCCAAAAAGAAAAAATTTGTGGTTCCAACAGGATGGGGCTCCCTCACACTACGGCGTTGAAGTACGAAATTACTTAAATAACGTTTTCCCAGATAGGTGGATCTGTAGAAGCGGATCTAATGAATCGCTACCAAGGTCTCCAGATTTGACTCCATTAGATTTTTTATGGGAATTTTTGAAGAACAAAGCATATCAAAGTCAACCGAATAATGTAGAAGAGTTAAAGGAGTACATCAAAACGGAAATTTGACAAATAAATTCTGAAGTTATCGAAAATGTTAGAAAAGAATTTACTGCCGCCTTTCTTATAGTATCATTGTTGAACATTGCAAAGGCGATTAGTAGTCCTTTCAAATGAGGTACGCTGTGACCTCTGTTTGTATTTAAACTGCTGTATGTGCTATACGTGTTGCTATATGTGCAACACATATAGCAATTGATGGTCATTCAAAAATTAAAATTGACGTGTTTTAAGATTTTTTTAAAGTCGTATATTTCTGAAATAATGAATTTATTCCATACATTTGTAACATACTGTATAATATAGAAAAAAGATGTTTTACACAGATTATTCCTAAGTAATAGTATACATATTTATAGGTTTCACCATTCACCATCAGAGCTTAATTACCTCCATAACATCGTTAGTCAACCTAATGGTCCTAGCTGTATCACCTGGATGTGGGGCTGAACCATCGGGTCCCAACTCGACCAGTAAGGGGGCAGTATCTCCTCGAACATCTCGGGTGCTCGTGGCTTGCCCAAGAGCTCCCGGTTTCTTTTTCCTCTTCCTCGGAGCGCAGTCCGCCGGCCTTCGTCTCACATGGAACATTATGGAGCCTGAAATCATAAAGAAAATTAGTGTGAAATAAAGATGTATTTATACAATTAAATACATACAATAAAATTAGGGACTTGTTAACATAAAAAAAATTCTTTTTTTTTTTATTTTAATTTAATCTTTATTATATCTTCAATACAAAGGGCACGGTCAAAGACGAAATATTAATTACTCAATATAAAGAATGCAGATTTTTAAGTTTTTCGTAGGAGAGGAAAGTCAAATAAGATGAGATAGAAGGTAGTAACACCACACATTTACATGATGGGAATTAATGATGCACTATGGAAATATATAGACACATATACGATCATGATGTAATCTTGTATTCGACACTTTTTTTTATTAATAATCTATACTTTTTTTTTTCTTTTATTTTTTATATATTTTACTGTATTCGTTTAATCTAGAGATGTATTAAACCTTAATAGCTAGAAACCTACCAATTAAATATTCTTAAAAACATTTATGATAAAACTATTGCTATTCAGAATTAAGCTTGCAGCTTCCTTTCCTTCTTAAGAAAAAATTCGCTATAGTATTTTTCACCTAAGAAGACCGCTTTGCAATTAAATGCTGGTAACTTTATTACTAGCGGACCAGATAAGCGGTTATATATTTTACACTACCTTTATGAATAACATTTTACTGCTCCGTTGTTTCAATCAGCACTGCCCTCAATAAGTTATCGTTTATTGGTTTTAATCTTTTATTGCAATCGTACGAGTACGCAATATTCATTTAAACAGTGAATTTATTGTTATTTTTTTAAATTTCTTCTGACGTTTCGTATACTGTATTTTTACCCAATAATCCAAGTTATGCATTTACAAGAACATATTATTTGAAAAATAAGGAATAATTCTTAAATCCACTCAATCATTGAAAAATGATTCATGCTATATAAAAATATCTTTCTTTAACGACACTGTTATCGACAAAGTACATCAAATTGTATTGGGGTTATTTAATAATTTAACAAAATACAGAATCAGCAAAAATCTTATTTAAAACATGCGAACGGTTTTTGTAATCACAATCAATGCAGTGTGTATGCTTGTTTAACAATGGCAGTTAAACACTTTGTGTTCGATTGTTTCGTCTGTTATAAAACCCTCGTACTTTTTAAGGTGTAGTTGTATATAAGTATCTAATTTTTATAGTAATTTTGTGAAGCGGTACTTTAAAGCAAAATGAGTATTTTGCAAGGAAATAAAATACAGTCGAAACGTAGAGTGTTATCTCCAGAAGAACGGCGTTTAATTCTAAAAGTCGAAAGTTATTTCAATTTGGAAAAAAATAATATGGGTCCATTGTACATCTGTTATGGCAGTTCATAAACACACATGCGATGCTTGCGGTATCTCAGAAAGGACATTCCGAAGAATTAATAACATGAGTGGATGAAATAAATAAAATAAGCAAGAGAAATCGTCGACATACAAAAAGTTAAGATTTGCACCAGTCAAGTAAACTTGCAATTAAAAATATTATGTATAAAGCCAAAGAACATGTAACAGTTAGTGCTGTGTTACAAAAAATAAAAGACAAGGAACTGTGTGATATTAGTTTAGTGTGGTATTTTTAGTGTGGTTAGTGACATTAGTTGATAAGTTTGTGGAGAGTACTGAAACATTTAGGTTTTCGATATAAAAAGACAAATAATAGACAAGTATTGTGTGAACTCTCTAATGTTGTTCTTTTAGTCGTTCCAAAATTGGTAAACGCTATATTATACTTCATGCTGGAAATTATAAGGGGTTTTATTCCTGACGCTAGTTTAATTTTGTCGTCCACAAATAATACAGGTGATTATCATGGAAATATGAATGCAAATATTTTTAAAGAATGGTTTGAAGAAAATTTTAAAAAAAAATTGAAGCGACCATTTATAATAGTGTTGGATAATGCATCCTACCACTCAAGAGTAGAAGAGAGATTTCCTTTAAGCAGCTGGACAAAAGAAGAAAAGTTGTGGTTGACAGAAAAGAAAATTTATCACAGTGACATATTTTTAAAAGTCAATTTACTTCAAAGGTGTGGAGAGCACACAATTCAAAAGAAATTTGTTACTGACCAAATAGCTCTTAAATATAGCCATGAAGTTCTTCGACTTCCGCCCTACCATTGTCACTATAATGCAATTGAGTTAGTTTGGGGTATAGCTAAAAAATTTTATGATAAACATGCATCCAAAACAACATATGACGCTAGCGTTCTTAGTTTAGGGAAAGAATCGTCTTTTCAAACCGAGCGAGTTATAGATGAGGTCCGGCCTCTAATTATTCGGATAGACAATTCAGATTGTGACGACTCTGATAGTGAAATATCAGACAGTGAATAGTACAAATCGTTTGCTAAAAAGAAGTAACAAAAAAGTGTTTCGGGAATTCAATTCGGACTTTGTGGTGTGTTTTAGTTAAACGATAAAGTACCTTCGGTTTAAATACTGGACTACATACTCTACATTGCTTTGGTATTAATTACTGGACTACCTGTGTTTAAACATTTTGTGTTGCTGAAAATTCGGAAGTGATTTAGTGTCAATTTGCTTCAAGGTTATATTTAATACTGTGCCTGCAGAAAGTAAAGTCTTGGAAGTATTTTAGTCAAATTTTTACATACCAGCAACTTGGCAAGTATTGTCATCTGATGTCCACAAATAATTTCGAGTATTCGTAATATTCCGTCTCGCTTCTTTTAACACGCCCTGTATATACATATTATATTCATTTTATTTGCCTTTGATACAGTAAAATTAAATATTATTACTGAACATAAAATACAGGAAATTAAATATTTTTACTTTTCAAGCGATCGGAATTAAATATTAACGACCCACTGTTTGAGGCCCATTGATCATATCTTAATTACATATCGGTCGTCATAGGGCAAAAGGATTATAATCTTTACGCCTATGATATTAAAAGAACTGAGCTCTGCAAACACTCTTTCCATATTTTCAAGCCATAAATGACCGGTCATGCTGCAGTATATCCCACAAATGTTCTGACACATTCGGTAGTTACATTCATGACTGCTTTTTGGTGGTCTTATAAAGATGTACGCCAAGACTGTTTTATGTTTCCGGGGGTTTTAAGAATGGCTAAAATAGTTTAGAGAATTATATCGTGTGAGCTCTTTACATTCTCCAGTTTCTACTTGTTTGCTGTTATTAGGTATGGTGACACCAATAAACGTTGTTTGTCTGCATTGTTTGTTAATTATTATAAAATGCGACTTAATATATACTGGTTAGTCTTTATTCTCCAGCATAGTGTTATGAATATATTTAAAATGGTTAGTTTGGAGAAGTCCTAATTATCACCATATTTATTATAAACGTTACAACAAATATTATGATCTTTAATAAAAAAAAATAAATAAACAGACCTAGCCTCTCAAAAAAGTTTTTAACGCCCATTGTCACAATTTCAACACAAACACACAAATCACACTTCACAAAATTTGTTGAATAACTGAAGGAAATGTGACGCGAAAACATATGTATAAAATTCTTGGCATAGGAAAAATCGCTAATAAAAATACGCCGAACCGAACCGAGGTTTCAAAATGAGTATAATAAACACGACGATTAAATCGCGAATCAACGAAATCTTGGCAAAAATATGTAAATATACACAGAGACCCAAATGTAACTCGCCCTGCCTTTGTTAGTGTGAGGTCAAAGGACGGAAAAACTGGTATTATTCGAAGGGTATGAATCAGACCCATGGAATAGTGCACATCGAAAGATGAACTTATATATCGATTTCTTATTGATGACCTATATCTTATTCAATATAAGTAGATAGTGAGGTAATGTTGGAAATTTAGAATTAATTTGAAAATGTTCGAATGTGCTCATCCGAAATGTGGTCATGGTGGTAGGGATCTTACAATTATTAAAGTCGAATAAAAATTACGCAAATATCAGAAAAAAGTGCGTAAAATATTATGTGAAACGTGTCACAAGAAAAACAATCATTTTAAAAAGGGGCTAGTAGTTAAACCGTTATTATTTCAAGAGATTCACGTACGGGACAAGTTTTCTTACAGACTTAGATATATAATATAATATAGATATATCGATATGCACACGTATTCTGATCGTGATTACAAGTAAATCTTCAACTATAAAGATCAATTGACAAAATTTTGTCATTTTGATTCTACGTTCACTACATATAAAAACAGCACAAGAAGTTTCTCACATTCTACTTGATATTTTTTTACTTTGGGTACGCAAATTATTCTAAATTTTGCGACTATTTATAAAATGCTACTGCTATAAAAAATGATCATTCAAATTATGTAAATGTAAAAGATCTACTGTATTCTGCAATTCTAAATGTCAAAAGATTTCACCGTCTGAGAATAAAGACTAATTTTTTATTTTAATTACAATATAAAAACAATAAGCATTAAAATTTAAAAAAAAATGAGTACAGTAAACTAGTGCGAAGCTGCATACTATACTTTTCATGTTTGTAAATAATATTTTTATTAAATATTAAATTATTATTTTTATTAAATAAAGTAATTTTATTATTTATATTTTAAACAAATTATATTATACCTTTTTACCGTACCGCTTTAGAATTAAATGTGTCTAAAAAATTAACAGAAAAGAAAACTTTTTTTGCATTGCATAAATATGTTGCATAAATATACAACGATGACGGTTTACCGACACTCGAATTGTCCATGCGCAAAACATGCAACATGGAAGTTAATCCCGCAAACTTCCAACGGTTGACTTTGTAATTTGTTTATTGTAACGCCATAACCACGGGATTTGTTAACCATAACCAAGTTCCAACGCATAACCATGTAATTTGTTTATTGTAACGCCATAACCATTGGAAAAGCCATAACCACGGGAAATTGTAAACGTTTAAATCAAATGGTACATTCGTTGGAATCATCGGTATGATTAGACATCCTCTCCTTAGTATTTTTCTTTGATGATCGTCGCCTCAATGATATTAGTCATTAG